ATCCAATCTGGCCAGCCTGGGGGGTTTCTAAGGCGTTTTATTGAAGGACAGTGGCAAAACGGTGGGAATGCAGACGGTGAAGTTCAGCGTTGGTTCTATGAACGGCCGGCCGTGTTGTCGCTTCCAAATGAATAGAAAAGAGCACTCGAGATTGATTAATTTCATTATCAGTTTACGCTGACAGAAAAATACTACCTCTCTGGTCCCAGGCTTCAACGACGAGGGAAAAAAATACTTCCAAAACAAAAAAATGCTTGCCGACCTAACGATAAATAATTCCGAGTTTTAATTGCTAATTTACAATGGGCAGTAAAACGGTTCGTTGCTGTTCTTATCACTGTCTGCTCTTTTGAGAACGTTCGCTGAGCAGTGGAAATACTACTGCGCGTCAGGTTTCTGTTTGCTCTGGGATTAGTAAGGCAAAGAGAGTCTCGGGCCAGCCGCAGAGTCGGCGTGATGTTACGGGACCCTGATTTATCATTAGACGAAGGCTCAGCTAAGCCTTTTTTAAAGAAGCTGGTAGAAGTCCCTTGATTATCTTTGCTCTTAAGAAACTATTTTACAATGTCGTAAAATAAATTTTATCAAGTCGACAGTGGAGACAGAGGAGCTTCTCTTAGATGCTGTAACTCCAGGTGCCGGTGACTTCCTGGTTTCTTCTGTAAAGAAATTATGAATGTTTTTTTTTTTTTGTTCTGCATTTTCTCTGACATTACCGCATCTTCTCATACCCAACGACCTTAGTACTTCCCACTGACCTGACCTGAGCTTTTCTCTTCACTAGATCAAATGCCAGATTATGGAGTATCGACATGTAGATACAGTTTTGCTGTTTAAAAAATGATGCTCTGTGAGAGCAACGACAGAGAGTAATTCTGTTGCTTTTGCATCGATGGTCCACTGGCTTCCTTCCCGTCAGGCCAGCGGTCCCCAACCTCTGTGGCACCAGGGACCGGAGCTCCTATGCGGATCTAAGGCCTGACGATCTGAGGCGGAGCTGAGGCGGTGATGCCGGCGCTGGGGAGCGGCCGCACACGCAGATGGAGCTGCGCTCACTCGCCCGCTGCTGGCCTGCTGTGCGGCCTGGTTTCTAACAGGCCACTGACCATACCGGTCCGCGGCCAGAGGCTGGGGACCCCGGCATTCGGGGATCATGTACTTCCTGCCGGGATGAGAGGTGGGCACGCAGTCCCTCGGCAGGCAGCCGGGCCCATTTCCGGCTGCCTCCATTATTTTCACAGAAAACTCATCTTTAAATAGACTCCCGTCTCCTTCCGTGCTCCATCCGCCCCCCGCAGCGGCGCCGCGGCCTCCCTCTTCCCTGGCACGCAGTACGCATTGAGTCAGTGTGAGGCAGGTGAGGGACTTCAACCTAGACCCCACTTCCATCCGCACGGGTGGGAAAGACCTGTCGTCCGCCAGCCCCGAGGCCGGAGCGCGGCTGGGGGAGCTCGCGCCCATGCTCACTCCTCCCGCGCCCTCGTCACACAGGGCTGACTCGTGCCAAGGTCATCGAGGCTGCTCGGGCTCTTGTATGGACGCGTCTGGGGGACCACGTCTTATTCATCTGTATCTGGGCAGTTTTTGTTGGTTTCACTGCTGGCATTCTTAGCGTGGTGGCGGTGGTGTTGTTTATTCTCAGTGAACTCTGACATGTCGAGTGCGGCCCATCATCCCAGCCCACAGATCACCGGGAGTCTGTGCTCACTGTACCTCCCAGCTGCACGGAGCTACTGGAAAGTCCAGTTGCTCTTTGCACCCCTGCCTCAGGGATTTTGCGAGATACAGAACATTCTCTGCCAAGAAGGGCGGCTGCGTTGCTGTCAGCTCCACGGCCGGCTGGCCTGGAGCAGCTGCAAGTTCCCGCTGAGGCGCGGGCTTGTCACTGCGCTCCAGGCCCCGTCCCCGTGATCCTCGGATCGTGCCCTGGGCGGTGATCGCCAAATGGCAGCTGACTGCTCTGCGCTGGGCCGCTCGTCCCACAGACTTTGCCCAGTAAGACTGTGAGCTCTCCTGCCACAGGTTACGATATCGGGTACCACGTCCTGTGCCTTAGGCTCGCAGGAGAAGGTGAGGAGCGGCTTGAGAGGGTACCTACGAGGTTTAGACCCCTCCCACCCCCTAGACCCCCACCCCAGCCCCTCCAGACCCTGAACCCTAGCATTAAACTCAGACCTGCAAAACACAACTCGCTTTCTCCTTTTTGGAAAGACAAACGACCAGGTTTAAGGTTCTGTCTACCTGGGTTACCCTGGACAAATGACCGACCTTTTCTGGCCAGAGAAAAAGGAGGGGTTGGTGGAGGTTCGGTCCAGCTGCCCGAGAAGCAGAAGTCTGTCTTTCCACGGACAGCGCAGCCTCGTGTCAGGCTCTCTCCAGATCTGCCGGTTCCAGCACACGGCACCGGGCTGAGGACACGAGTCACTCCCTGACGACCGCGGTCCCCAGCACGAGCCTACAGCAAGGTTATCCCGGGAACCTCAACATTCTCAGTCTTCTGGGGTGAAACGACCCTCCAGAAGCTATTTGCATGTGGAACATCACCTTTTAGATGACGTGCGCTCCGAGTTCTGGCCTTGTGCACGCGTCTGCTTGTTGGGATTCCCCACGGCCCGCCCCACGAGGGCCGCGCACCTGACGCATGTCCCCACGACTGACGCCTCCGCCCGAGGAGCACGGCACCGCCAGAGTCCAGCAGGTCAAGCCTGAGGCCTGTGTTCAGCCCCCGCTGCACGTCACGTCCCCCACCCCGCCACCGATAGGTCAAGGTCACCCTCCACCAGTCAAAACGGCCTCCTCTTCCTCTCTCCCCTGCCGCTGCCTGAGTTCAGGCCTCTCTCTGTAACAGCCTCTGCCCGTCCAGGTTCACTGTCCTCCTGGCCCGCGTCCACAGTGCTGCCAATGTGACCCATCAAACACGCAAACCTGGGCACGAGGCTCCCCGATCCTGCTCAGCTCCCTCCACACAGCGGATACGCCCGCCCAGCGCCTCCTGCCCAGCTGCCCGCTGGCCGCCCAGCACCCCGCACCCCCGCCACGCCTGGCTCACCTCACTGTATCTTTCAAGACCCAGCCCAAGTGCTACCTCCTCTGAAGGATCTTCTGCAGCACTCCACGCCCCCCATCTGCATTCAGAGTGAGGTGCACCCCCGCGGTGCACCCCCGCAGTGCGCCAAGAGCATCCCCAGTCCTTATTACAGAGTGTACGACTGTGGCTGAGACACCGGTCCACACATACCATCCTCACTGGGCTAGAAGGTTCTGGAATATGGGAACAGTGTCTTTGATGCCAGTGCAGTAGAAATTCATGTGATCAGGACACATAAACGCAATTTTGGTGCCTACATTTTTTTCTATAGCACAATTCTATCAAAGTCTCCTTTAAATTTTAAATTCTTGAAACAAACTATATAAACCCAAGAGAGTCTGGACAGTAAGAGTTCATCTAAAAAGAATTCTGCCCAACACAGTTACGGTCCCAAATAAAGATTGAATCTTCTTGAAATTCCTCAGGAAATACAGTACGCTGAGGGGAAGACTTGTAAATGTCCTCATTATTCTCCTCAGCAAATATTTACTGAGGGCACACTGTTTGCTGAGCCTTGAAACAAGCACTAGGGGACAGAGTGAGGGGTGACACCCAGTCCTGGTCCCCACGGGATTCAGAGTCTGGTGAGGGACCAGACGCTACACTAACGAACGAACAATGATGAAGTGCTAAAACATGGAGCGCCAGCTAACTGATAAAGGCTGGGTGTTACGCATCAAATTCCAGTGGTCTGAGATGGCCTCACGGACAGAGTGGCATTTAAGCTGAGTCCTAAGGTGTGAAAAGAAACCAGCCACTCACGACGCATTCTGGGCAGAGCAAAGGGCACGCACAAGGCCCCGAGGTGGGCAAAGAGAAAGGACGCCCTTGTGGGGGCCACCTGCAAAGTGAGGGCGGAGCCGCGGGACAGGAGGCTGGGACAGTGCCCAGAGGCTGACCACAGGGCAGGAAAAGTGAGGCTGCCGTTCAGAATGCAGTGGGAAGCCAGCTAAGGGCTCTCTTCAGGGCCTGACGGGATCCAATTTACATTTTTAAAGACGTGTGCAGAAGAGGAGAGCATCTCTGGGGTCCGGGCCGGTGAAGACGACTGAGGCATGACCCACGAGCATGATACGGAACACGAGAAAATGACACGCTGAACCTCCTCGAAACCGAAAATTTTCATTCTGTAAAGTCCCAGTGAAGAGGATGGAAAGACTACAGACTGGGAGAAAATATCTATAAATGACATACCAGGCAAAGGACCGGCATCCGGAATATGTAAAGAACTCTCTAAATCCCATAGTAAAAAAAACCCCAAGTAATTCGATTAGAACATGAGCAAAAGATATGAATTTATTGAAGGAAGGGTATACGGAGGGCAAATACACACATGAGAAGATATTCAAAATCATTAATCATCAGGGAAATGCAAATTAAAACCACAATGATGTGTTACTACCCAACTATCAGAATGGCAAAAACAAGAAAGTGACACCAGCAGACGCTGGAGAGGATGCGGAGAAACTGGGTACGTGAAACGAGACGGCCGCTCTGGAACATTCTTTGGTTAAACGCGCAACTACCACATGACTCAGCGATTTTACTCTCGGGCATTTATCTTAGGGAAGTGAAATTTTACGCTCACACAAAAATCTGTACGTGCATGTTCATAGCTGCTTTATCTGTAATAGTCAAAAACTAGAAACAGCTCACGCATCTTTCCATGGAGGAAGCGTTACACTGGGTACCTACAGACCATGGAGTGCTCCTCCACGGCACAGAGGGACACACCACTGACCCGCGCGAAAACGCGAATGAGTGTCCAGGGAACCGCGCTGAGTAAAAGAAGCCAAAAGGTCACATACTGCAAGATTCCAAAATGCAAAATTCTTGAAAAGAAAAAAAAAAGGAGTAAAGAGATTCGTGGCTGCCCGAAGTTAGGGCCGGAGGGTGGAGGACGAAGCGGGCCGGGGAGGTCATAAGGAGCGGTAAGAGGGTCCTTGTGAAGGGATCCTGGACCTCGACCGTGACGGTGGAGCCACGCCAGGTGAAATGATGAACACCGCCACCCGCACACACACGGATGAGGAAGTCTGAGTGACGCCGGCACGCCTGTGTCGACATTCTGGTGGTATTGTACAGTGACTTTGTAGGACGTTACCATTGGGTGACACCGGCAAACGGTGCATAGGATCTCTTTATATCATTCCTGAATCCATGTGAGTCTACGACTAAATAAAACTCCTTTTGCGAAGTCTCCCTCACAGAGGCCAGTGTCCCCCGTTCTGTGCCCCACTTCTTCGCTACATAGTAAATACTGGCTTCCTCATCTGACCACTTTTTACTCACTGTTGGGAGCTGTGAGAGCCTTTTTCGCACCTGTGTTCTGCTAAGGTTAGTGCAGGGCCTGGAACATAGTAGGGCTCGATAAAAGTCTGTTGAATGAAAGAGAAGCCAAATTAAAAAGAATAACCGATAGGATTGATATTAAATCATTAAAGCCGTTTGCTCTTCTGGTCACATGATTTGAAAGGTCTGTGACAAAGTTCCAGAAGAAGCAGCCGCTACTGGTCTCATTTATCATTTTATCATCATTTGCATGGTTTTTTCTAGAAAACACTTTAGCTAAGGCGGCAGTGCTGACCCTCTGTGTGAAGGGGGATGATGACCTACCAAAGGTACCCCTCCCGTCAAGCTTACGGAGCAGTTCACATATTTTAGAAGAAAAACAAGCTCTTCCCAGCACAGCAAAATTAATCACCTAGCCCATCAGTACTCACAGCTAATAGGTCACACTAAGATCCGCCTTGGCTGATTATGAATATTCGAAACACGAAACACACAAAAGCTATTAAATACATTTTAAAAATTCATGTGAACGATCTCAAACTTAAGAGGAAATCTGCAAGTATAGTACAAGAGACATTTTTCCTTAGCCATTTGAGAGTAAATGGCTGATATAGTGCCCTATCACTTTCGTATCTCCTATGAATGGAGATGTTTTCATCTGTAACTACGATATAACCATCAAAATCAGGAAAGTCATATTGACGCTTCAGTGAAATTCTCGGACTCCATTCAAGCCCCTTCAATGCCCCGACTGCGTACTTTGTAGACGCAGGGTGCAGTCCTAAAGCCAGGGCTTGCAAAGCACACAGGGCCTACGGTCATCATGTCCTCTTTAATTTCCATCTGGAACAGTTCTCAGTCTTTCCTTTACTATCCGAACCATGGCCCTTTTGATGCTTACGAGCCATTAACTTTGTAGGCTGTTTTTCAGTTTGGGCACCTGTTATATATCTTAGGCAGGAATATCACAGAAGTGACGATGTGTTTTAATTTATCTCATTCAAGTGACGTGATTTGTATTTGTACCATTTACTGGTGACATTAACTTTGATCACTTGTTTAAGGTCCTGTCTGCTAGGCTTGTCCACTGTGAAATTATCTTTTTTTCCCTTTGCAATTTTAGATTATGTATCATTCATTCCTCATCGAACTGTTAATTTTTATATCTGTATGAACTCATGGTGTCCTATTTTATTCAATGCATTACAGCTGTTACTACTATCATTTACTCCGATGCTCAAATCGTTCCAGATTTTTCCAGTAGGAGCCCCTGCAAGGTGGACTCTGTGTCCCCATCATTGTTGGAACACTTCTTTATTCCAGGCTCCTCTCGTAATTCCCTCACTCTGGCACTGAAGTCAACCAACTCTCCAAGGACCTCTGAAGGATGGCACTCAGCAACCAAGGTCTGAAAGCGAGGGGCACGCGATGCCACCGGGGTGCCACTGCTCCCAGACGCGCTCAGTGGACGACACTCGAATGTGTGTATTTGAATCTCTCTTTCTCACACCCCTATCGGCAACCCCAGCCCAACACCGTTCCTTGCTATTTTCTTACTTGATGAATTCCTCTGTGTGTCACCATTCTGCTCGAGCTGCCACAACCACCTGCATGCCGTGCGGAGGCCCTCTTCCCCGTCCCCCACGGCAGGAAGCGCCTTCTCAGGGACACGGCCCTCCCCCTGCTTAGGCTCCGACACCCCACCGGAGCCACCACATCGGCTCTTCGCCCGCGCCACGCGCAGCCTCGCTCGGCCCCACCCGACGGCTTTCGGGCTGGACTAAGCGTGTCTCGATTCCCAGTCTCCGGGCCGTGTCTGCGGCTTCCTGCTTTCTGGGTTTCCCTTCGGTATAAACCTCGGCTCCAGGCTCCAGGTTTTGTCAGCCTCCTGTCCGGAACAATAAACGATAAACGGAGCCTCATTCCAGCCAAGGGCTGCACGCCGTGGACCGCACACTCTTCCGTCACCTTAAATGGGGCATCTTCAGTCCCTGTTACGCCACAGAAGTGACCGTCCTGGCCTGGCCTGCTTCTTTGCTGACCCAGGGGGTGTCATGCCGCAGGTCCCTCATGCCCACCGTTCCAAGGTTTCTCCTCTCTCTGGCCAACAGACGTTTAAATCTTGCTCGGGGCACAGGCAGTTCGTCAGGGTTTCTTCCTTCTGCGCTTTATCTCATAGTGCTATGTATTCGGAATACAGAAAAGTAGACAGACTCTGGGAGGAGTTAAGAAATGGAAGAGTCTCCGTAGGTTTGAACAGAATGACAACATGGGTAGAAAGGGTCAGACAAATCAAAGCACCAAAATCGTTTTTAAGAGACTTTGTTGCACTTGCACTATAAAGTTGACGAGGGCCGTGACGAGGGCTCCTTGGCCCTGGCCCGCAGCTCTGCGGGGCGGTTCGCCCAGCACTGCCGGGCTCCCAGAACCGACATCGACCAACTGCAATGGCTGCGCCATGGTGCTGACGAAGCCGAAGCTTCAGGCCCACTCACTCACTTTGTTCTTCCAAATTCCCGGAAACAATTTTATATTCGCCATATTTATCCTTTTTCTCAATGAGAGTCCCCGCCCCCACCCCCCGCCCCAATCGTCAAAAACGTCCAGCCTCGCAAATTCTGGATCTCTCTCTGCGAGAGACAGAGGGTTAGGTCAGAATGCGAACTTCCGATGAAGGCTGGTAATTTTCTAGAGCGCATTCCGGGTCCCAGTGCACAGAGGAGCTAGGAGGCTGACTTGACCTTCCGAAGGTGGCTTAGGTTGTTCAGAGAGCCGCTCCTGGCGGGTGGGCTTGGGGGTGAGTTTAAGCGGATGATGTCGATTTCAGAGCTAGCCTCGCCCACCTGCAGAGTGTGTCATAACTCCTGTGTGGCCAGTTCGCTGCACATGACAATCTCTTTCCAAGAGAATATTTGATAAACTCTGCCCCAAATCTTTCTTACTGGATTTCTCCTTCTTTAAGATTCCATATGTGCCATCTCCTGCCAGCTCTTAATTAACATAGTCTTTCTTTGTTAGGGTGTAATATAATTGAATAGGAAACAGCTTTCAAGGCTCCTCCACCCTCGATAAAATCTGGCTGTTCCCTAATCCATTCAACTTTATATTCACAAATTATCTCTTAGGGTGGGTTAGTTCTATCACCCAGCCTATAGATTCGCTGCTCCTAGTTTGGTTCTGTGAAAGTCATCTCGTTTCCAGGTTACAGGGTCACCTCTCTGTTGTCCCCATCCATTGACTGCCATAGTCAGTGGCAGCATGAATTAGGTCTTGAAACTCTGATCGCGATTTGAAATTAAGAAGTTATGTGATTTAACAATTGGGAAAAAATCTTATAGAAAGCATACATGAAAGGCTTCTTCCTTTGTCATCTTTGCTGAGGAAAGAGCCTACAAAGTCTCAAATCTAGAAGAGGCACTTAAGTTATATTACGCAGGCAGGAAAAGCAGAAAACCCATGAACAGGCAGGAGAATCATCTCGCACTTTCTTTAGGTGCCACTTCGAGGGACATGGATTAATTTTACTGCTGACAACCACTGAGTTAGATAGAAGGCCCGAACAGCAGTGTACGCAGAGTAACAGAGTAAGACTTGGCTCCAAAGAACCTAGATCTAAATCTAGAAGTAAAACATACAAATGCAACATGATCTTGAACAGTTATTTTTACACTATCGATAATTTTAAACAATCACTGGAGATGAGCCAAAGAGGTGAAGCTTGGAAGAAATCGATCGTAAAAACAATGACAGTGGCTGCCATTCGGTGACGGCGTACGATGCCATGCCCACTGAGGGGGCATCTTAACACCTACATTTTACAGACGAAGACGCTGAGGTCCAGAGAGGTCTAAGAGTCATGATTCCAAGTCTTACCCTACGAGGGCTGGGCAAGGATTTGGGGAAAAGCAGTCTAGAGGGAGTGAACGAACAAAGACAGCCAAGGACGACCAGCTGATTTTAGGGCCGGATGAAAGCGGAGAGCACAGAGGAAAGGGAGAGGACGGGAGGGCGCTGAGGGGTTCCCGCGAGCTTCGCCCTTCAGGCTGGTGTGATAAGCAAGCAGGAGTCGACCAGGGGGCGTGGTTCCTTTTTCATAGTGTTTTGCTAGACTCTAACTACCTGGTGGGAAATGGAAGGGTCTTTGCAACTAGCAGCGTCATGAAAGATGAGTCTGCATTGATGGGTATTTACCCATCATCTAGCAGGTGCCTAGAAACAGTAAACAAAGATGTGAGCAAGACAGTAACATTTTGGTACGAGTGCTAGGAATGCAGCATATAGGGTGACACAGTAACGGGCGTGGGGGAACCAGCTTTAGAAAGGGAGACGTCAAACAATACACCTTTCAGCCACCCCGATTCTCACAAGTAGCAAATACTGATGCATCTCAGTAACTTTTTCTGCTGAAGTACACAGCGTGAAATATGTATACATATATATATATAATATATATATACAGAAGTGTAGAAGCGTCTGTGTAGAAACTCTTATCGCCCTCCAGGCCCCACAAAATGCCACTTGTGTCATGGAGCCACTCGTCCTGGGCTCCTCTGATGCTTAGGACACCTGGCAGCAGTCATGTGACACTAAGTCACATAGGCACTGGGGACCGGTTGGCACACCCGGAAGCGTCAGAGGTTTGCAGGTGATCCACCAGGTTCACAAAGGAAGAAAAGGCGGGCGGGAGCGGGGGCCAGAGGCTCCCCGGGGCGGAGACTCCACGCTCTGTCCGGGTGGCTCTTCCGCAGCTGACATAAAATGCGCTGCTTTAGAATGACGACGCTGGGTGCCCGGAGTCGCAGGGGTGCGGCGGGCTGAGGGTCCGGACAGCAGCGTGCACAGGGCAGCGTATGGGACATGCCGGGGAGAATCACAGACACCACAGAACGGATCCAGACGGGGGGTGGGGGGGTGAGGAGGGGCCCCGCAGCACTCTGGGCTGAGGGGGGCATCAGTGACAGAGAAAATAAGAACTCAAGAGGAAGACTGGTTTGGGGGGAAGATGATACGTTTGAGCCTGGTTTCATCGCCTCTGAGATTCCGGTAGGTCAAAATAGTGGAGCTGCCTCGTGCTTTGCTGCTCGGAGTCAGCGTGGCCCGTGTGGCAGCCGCTCTGGGTCCGCCCTGGAACCTACTCCGAAGGCAGCACAGACCTGCCGAACCCAACGTAAACGGCGCCCGTAACGGCCTGTCTCTACCTCGGCTCCAAACCATTGATCGCCCCACGTCCTCTGCTCTGGAGCTCAGAACTCCTGGGGCCTAGGGCCTGTTCTGTAGGTGTGGTGACAGCCAGGTCACTGCGGGGAAAATGGACTTGTGAAGGCGTGTGGGACCCTTTCGAAACATCTGCCTACGGAGAGTACGCCGAAGAGCACCTTTAGACCACGCGTGGGGCTGTCGCCGCCAGCCGAGTCATCTGCCTCGCCCTCCCCGGCATCACACATTGTCCTGTTTTTACCAGCAGCGATAATTACATCGAAGAGAAAATAACTTACAGGGTTTTTAACAAACTTGCCAAACTGTAAGAATTTGGATATCGACAATAAGTGAGAATTTGAGTAGAGCACCATAATGATAAAATCAGTGTCTCGATCTTCAAAACGCTCCATGTTTACAAACACTGATGTTCCCTTGTTCGTCACATAAGTCAGTTCCTCGAGTTCACCACGAGACTGACGCCCATGTGCAGGAAATCATCTCACGATCTCACGGAAGAAATCATCACGACTAGGGCACTTTTAAAAATCCAGTTCACACGAATGCACAGATAACCCTCCCTTTGTTTTCAACTTCTGTTAACTGTTAGAAGAGCATTTAAATAATAATGCAATTCTACCTTTTAAATACTTGCTGCATGGTTTCATATCTCGGTCGCATGTGCCGAGAATACGTTTTTAGGGAATTTGACTCTAAACTAAGTGACATGATGTGTTTAAAAGAATATGTAACCAGCAAAGACCATATCACAGTATGAAACTATTACGACCAGTTGCACTCCCACTGGTGACTTTTGTGGTGAGACCTCATCACTCAATGCTCCTGAGCACCTACTATGTGCCAGGAATTTGGTCGGGAAATTTACACATGTAAATCCTTTATAAACACCTGAAAATCTTAATTTCACAGATTTCTGGAGTTTTTAACAAGAGGGGAAAAAATCAGAAGTGACCTTCATTTGAAGAATGTGCAAAATCAATTATGTTTCTGCTGGCGTGAGTTTTAAAAGAGGCTGTGGATGAAACGGCGCTGCTCCACTAACTGCTTCCATCGGTACCAGGACCAGCAGGATGCACCGTACGAAACCGCTGTCCGGTGTCAAACCGGCACTGGACCACCGATTAGTGACCAAATATTGGCAATTTCACATGGCTCAGCCATTTACGACTCAGGCCATTTCTTCTGGGCCAACCGATGCTGTGACTAGACCACAAAGCAGATTGCAAAGGCCAGGGCGTGCACGGAGGATTTCTTTCTTTGATGTGACTGGTTTTCGAATAGAGCCATCGCTGTGACACTGCTTTTACCCAGAACTTTTTAACAGCTCTGAAACCTGACTGCCAATGGAGAACTGAAATTTCGTGACGAGCCGCTGGTTAGACGGCCCTGCCCGGATCATGGCTTCCGCCCTCAGAGAGGAGCTGACGGGCACTGTGGGAACTGAAGTGCAGCCCACAGGAAACCCCTGCTCGTTGGTTTCCTTAGCTGATGGAAAGGAACGGGGGATGCTCCAGCTTACTGATTGCACCTTCTTTGAACTGAGACTCCAAGAACCTAAAACGCGAAGACCCGAGGGTAAATGCCATCTCGTTGTTTCAAATCTGTTGCCAAAAAAGCTGTCGTGACACAAATAAGGAGCTAACTATGTTTACTTTCAGGATGTCTTATTTCGTGCAATCAAATTTTGAATCCACGGCCAATGCACGCCACTGACCTCAGGGCTGACTTTGTATCATGGCAGGATAATGGGATGAGTAAATTCTCCAACGGTTATAAGGAAAAAATGTTGTTCTCTGGAAGGCTGTTTAGGATATTTTATACATATATTTAAATAATTTTACAAAACCTTAAATGGACAGACAAGGGCCAACAGAGTCAGGTAAAATTTCTTTAACTCACCCATCACGAAATCCTCCAAAGTGGATTATTTCCGAGTTTAAAAAGAGACCTGAAAGAATGAACAGGAAATTAAAAACGGGTGACATGGATTAGTGGTTACATTAGGACAATACTAGAAAAAAGCAAATGCTGAACATATAATAAACACTCAAAAAATTTAACTATTGCTCTTACTAACGTCGCCATCACTGTTCCTATTATTATTGACCGTGTAAAATTGTCTTTGAAATCAGTTTTTTCATGTTATTTTTATATATATTCATATCCAAGGTGTCGACTGGGCTACAGATTTCGTCAGTCAGGCCCAGAGAGTAAAGGCGCTTTTATCCGCAATAAATTATGAATGAATCATGCATGGAGCACATCACCTCGTATTTATAAGGTGCTGAGGTCGACGCTCGCAGCAGAATTTGCACAAACCTGGATTTGAGTGTGGGCTCTGTCACCAGTGTTAGCCAAGGAGAAGTCACTTCATGTCCAGGGACTTAAACAGGGCTCAGCCTGTAGCAGTAAGAGCAGCTAACGTTCAGAGGGTGATGCTTCCTAGGTGCCGGGGACTTTCCTAAGAAGCTAGTACCTCATCCGATGGCTCGCGTTCACCTAGGACAAGGGGAGTGAGGGGCGGGCTCCATCTGCCCTCTTGTGTCCCGCCGGCTCTGCCGGGAAGTGGACCCTGCAGATGGGTCTCGGGCGCCCTTCACACCTTGCTTCCAGTTCAGACAGGGGGATGATTCCGCAAGAGCTCAGAGGCCAGGAGGGAGAGAGGCTGGGTGTCCCTTCCCCACTTTGCCCTTGACTCGGCAGCCCTCTCCTGACCTGCGCGTGGTGGGCGTGGTCCCCACACCTCCGCTCCTGCCCTGTCCCACGGGGCCTCTTCTCGGGCTCAGGCCATCCCACGCCCTTCCTCAGCCTCTCTGGTCCCGGTGGTAACGGCTTCCTGCTGTTGCTGGTCTTCTGGACCCCAACGTCCCTCTCTCGTCCCTCTAACACCGCACCCCCCCCACTGCACATCTCCGTAAGAAGTCCCTTCATTAAAATGTCTCGATTTGAACCCCATGAGTGGCATGTTCTTTCTTGCCGGGACTCAGCCTCTTACAGGGATTTATGACTTTAATATCTCAGTCAACTGCTTGTTATTGAGCATACGGGTATCTACGCAGTTTGGTTTGGTTTGGTTTTTAATGAGTTGGTACATTAGGAAATATAATCTTGTATTTCGATCGTTTTAAAAAACCAAAAGGTTTGTTTCTAATTCAAACTGGTTCGCTATCTTTTCTTTTTTGTTTTTAATAAAAAAATCTTTTATTTGGTTCACACTTCAGGGAAAGGGTACTTGGGATCTGATTTACTTGTGGAGTTCAACAAATGAGCTTACATATATCCCGGTTAAACGGTTCACAGCTTTGCAGGGTTCAAGTTCAAGCATAAAACCCTGCAATAAAAGCAAAAAGTGAGTTGGAGATATTGGTTTCTCTGAGTAAGACTAAGGCACATTCTAATTATGGGCATGCATTCCTAGAATGGTAGAAAGCCAAGGTCATCCTAGTAATAAAACAAAATTAGTGATTCTCACTTAAATGAAAGTCTCGTCAGCCACTGGACTTCCCAACGCATGTAGTTTGGCTTCTCAAACGAAATTATGACGAACTGTGTACACGTTTTGTAATGGATGTTAGTCTCTTTTTTTCCTAAATGAATTCCCTTTTTAATTAGACCAGTATTTCTTAAAGTATGGGCCCAAACTGTTACCTGAAATTTTTTAGAAATGCAAATTTTTTGGTCCACATCCTAGATCTACTAAACTGGCAATTCTGGGCGTCGGGCCAGCAATCTGGGGCCTGAGCAGCCCCTGGGGTTGGACTCTGCTCACAGATCACGCTGGCGTTATTAGTTTCCTGTGCGTGTCTGTGACAAGATGACAGGGACAACTGATGGCGTGCCCGGAGACCCAGCGACAGAGCCAGTGTTTGAACGTGGACCATCTAACTCCAGAGCTGAGCTTCTTAACCACTATGCTGAAACGCCTCCCGAACGGCCATGCGGGGTGGGGGGTGGGCAAGACACGAAGGCAACAGGAAACTCCAAATGGCAAAATTTGAGAAATAATATTCACATCAACTTTTTAACTCTCAAACTTCCCTAATGTAAGAATAAAGTGTTTATTGAGAATAACGCGTTTGTTTCGTTATTTGTATCTGGTAGAAAAAGTCGAGATGTGATTTTGCTAACACACGACTGAATTTTCAAGCACGAGTCTCTGGTTATCCTGCAACTAACTAAGTTTTCATGTTTTTGCTATTGAAAACCAGTTTCTCTGCTTAATGAAAACCAGGTAGAACTGCACACACACAGCACAGCTACAGTCTGTGAAAAGCCACGGACACCTACCCCTCTGCGTCCCGAGTATGTTTAATTGTACCTTCTGGCTTTCATCATTTCCTCCAGGACAATACGTCTGTTTTAGTTATATGTACATATTTGCCCGGAGCCAGATCTCACAGCTTCCTGAGCAAAAAGGAAAGGAAAAGCAGGGGTGGGGCGGGGCGGGGGGTCTCTAATCTAGGGGCTCCCTCAGTCGGAGAGCCGCGCCGTTCCCCAGAGCAGGTGCACCTTTCATCTCGCAGTGAATAACGTGTGACGTTCGGAGGAAGACATAATGGAAGACCCCTGCGTCCAAAGTCGGTGATTCAGCAGACTTGCGAGCCCCTCCCTCTCGCGCCCCCAAACGCGATCTGTCACCAGGCCCCGCTGATTCTGGCCACCCCACCTGCTCCACCTGCCCGCTGCTCTCCAGGCTCGTACGACGGCTGAATTCTAAAGTCGGTCATCCTTCCTCCTGCTCGCTTTTGCCTCATTGTCACGACAGCTGTACTTTCCGCAATATCATCTTGTTTCTCTATTTTAAATGTCACCGACAACCCCGCCCCGTCACCCACCCGATTTAAGTCCTTAGCAGCCAATCCTCCCGCCTCTTCCCAGCACGCGGTTGGCACCTCCCAGGCGTCGCTTCCGGCCATTTGCTCGACCTGGCATTCTCTTTCGCCCCCAAGGCCCAGAAGGAAACGCACCATGTTCCCTTCAAAACCTGGGTCAAAGGGAGACTTCCTGGCCTCACGAGCACAAGGGATGTCTCTGTCCCTCGCCATCACTGTGCCTTGGGCATGGGCTCGCGACCCGACACTGATGATCACAGTTATTTATTTGCATGCCCTGGTCGGTTTGGATTCTACACATTGGCCGCGACGCCTGGCACGAAACCGGCAGACTGCTGTAAGGAACGAGCGCGTTCACCGACGCGGTACGACGGGCTTCAGCCAGGTCTAACGATGTTAGGCAAGGCTACAGCTTGAAGGTGTTTCTCTCTTCATGCAAACGTTTTCAAAAGCCGGATGCTTGGTGTTAAAACCGCTTCGTTGCCTCTGTCGCCTACAGCACGCGCTCGCTCTTCGTCTTCAGATGTGGAGTAAAAGCAAAAATAGTTTTACCTGCAGCAAAAACCTTCCTGTTACTGAAGTGAAATCATTATGGCGTAAAGGAATCAGAGAAGAGTGAGCTGACCAACGTGTGTGCCTGATTCTGCCCTATTCACACATTTTTTTTTTTTGTTCTTTAGTCCAGATATGTCTAGGTGTGCCCAAGGAATTTGATTTTGCAAATGAACTAGAAGTGACGGGATTATTAGGCCTAACTACTAACCTCAACAGTCATATCATAAAAACTTAAGATATGAAACAAAATGCAAATGTATTAATTGACAACAAAACGATGCAGACGTGTTCAAAGACCCATTCCTTTCCACTGCTGCCTTAAACGGGAGGTAAAGTGGGACATCGGAGGGCTACTTTACTTGTCGAGTGTGAACTCAGAGCAAAGGGAAACTGCTGGTCTATGTGACATTTCTGCACCAGAAAACAGGCAGATGACCCTCTGTCTCCTCGCTATCAGGGGGCACGTATTCTCCAGGACCTGGCCAGGCTGTGTCCTGCAGAGAGAATGACCTCCTCCTCCTCCGGCACGGAGACACACTGCGACTCTGTTTGCGAGGATGGGTGTGGTCACCCCCACGCCTAAGTCCTCGCCTTCCGCTAACGATTCTGTTTTGCTTTGTTTAGAAAGAGGACATGATAAACAGCGGCCTCAGAACAAACCCGACTCACTCTTGACTTTCCCAGCCACCTTCACGGCTTGGCCTTTTGTCCTGGTGTGACCTAGTTAGATGCCACTTCCTCTCCGTCACCTGACAGAGAGGTGGACCAGAGAACCGTCACCCAGAGGGGAGCTCGACGGCCACTGTCTGTGAGCCCTCCAGTTACAATCTGTCTCAGCTGCAGAGGTCAGGTCTCATCCTCCATATTTTCACACAGTCTGGCTTTATTCTCAGAGAATATCATTCTGGAAGAACCCACCGGAAGCTCCCTAGATGCTGACTGTATTTAACCCACGATGGTCTCGACCACCACGGCACCAAGACAATCTTCTGAAAAGGAAGCGGTGAAGTTAAACACGCAGATTTTTCTCATACTGACCCTTCACGACACGTCCCATTCCGCCACCACTCAAACGCAGAGGATGGAGGTGACCCGCAGAAGTCGTACCTGGCCACTGCCAGCAGCCGGAGGGAGAGGTTCCCCGTTCACGTCCCCTTCCTCCCAGGAGTTCTGTGGTCCAGAGGCTCGAGAGAGAGTGTGCACGGAGGTTTCTGTGGCTCATGAGCTGACTTTGCTTATTTTGTTAGCTCCATTGCTGAGCTGCCTGACTTCTCGTCCGAGGTTGGCCACGAGTGTTCATGGCCTTGAAGGGCACAGGTCGTGCGTCTTCTGCATTACCTTTCACACCTGTATAATAGGGACAAAAACACATGGTCTTGATCTACTGGACAGATAAATACCAATGTCAGCTTCTAGGAAGAAAGAGATTATTCAATGTGTTATTTATTTAAGGTTTTAATCCTGGTTGCTGCATTTTGGGCACTCTTCTCAAATATGATTCTAATTATTTATATAATACACACAAAAAAACTAAGCCTCTTTCAGTATGTGACTCACAACTTTTTCTACCCACACGCAAATTTTAAAATGACCTTTACACAGTATTAGCATAGTTCGGTGCTAACTATACTAAAACCGGCCACTGAGAAATGTTCGATAAAGCTCTCGGTGACTCTGTGAGGGTCATTTACTTCGCGGGTCCTTTTTCAATGCATTTACTCATAGTCCCTTCCAACCTCGATTCCTGATTCCTCCTCCTCACGTCGTAAAATGCTCGCGAAGACAGCTTATACATCCGTGCTAGGGAGCATACAGAGAACGCTAAAGGAAACGGCCTTATCTTTAAGAAGTTTACAGTTTCACAGAACATACTGATGTGTAGTATATGAACAGCAAAGTAAGTTGAGTGAGTTGCTAGAAAATTAGTAAATTAGAATATCTGTATTAGGGATAAGTGTCTTTAGGATTCATAAAAATAAACGAGGCGGGTAACGCTGACTTACACGTACGGACAGGTGGGAGCGCGTTCCAGGGCTGAGGAGGTGGGTACTGGAGCCAGATGGGCTGGGCCCCTGGCCCGGCTCACCACTAACTTGCCTTGTGACTAGTCATGTGACCGCATCCTTTGGACTTTTGGCCTTTAACTGATCTAAGCCTCTGTTTCCTCTTCTGTAAAATGGGGTTAGTAATACCTTCTTGTTTGTTGATTGATATAAATCTTATAAAGCACTGAGCACAGTGCCTGGACATCGTGAGAGCTCCACAAAGCATTGTTTCAAAACTACAGTGCTTTGTATTCATCCAGAGAGTTTTGGGGTGCATCATCGCACTTGATCTTACTTGGCAGAGAAGATGAGGTGGGTATTATACACCGCTCGCTACCATCCCTCCCCCGCCACGCACACACAACACACACACATCCACCTTCCGGCTAGATGACGAGACAGAGACACAGAAAACAGAGACGACTTGCTCGTGCCCTGGTGGCAGCGCCGGTACAAGAACTAGCCTGACACTCTGCATGCCAGCCCACCGCACAGGGGGCGCAGCCACAGATGACCTCGGGGCCACACCGAGTGACCTCCTGTAGGCGGTTTCCGCTCTCTGGAAGCCCAGGAAAACTTCAGAGAAAACATGGAAGATTCCAAGGGCTATTTGAGTAGTGAGGAAAAGGTGACTTTTAGATGAGGCGAAGAATTGGTACTTGGCCCTACCTGGGAAAAAAGCTCACCAGAGGTATAACAGATCCTAAGACGAAGGAGTTTTAATCAAATATGCCTGAGAAAATTAGAGATTTGTCAATTTTTTCTGTAAACTGTAATAAAGAGTAACTTTGGGGTGGGGTGGGTGAAAACGATGAAGGGGAATATAGTCAATAATATTGTGATAAGTTTACAGGTGATTTAGAGAGATGATCACATGGTAAGATATATAAATGTTAAATCATTATATTGTACACCTGAAACTTATATAATGTTATATGTCAACTACACTTTTAAAAAATATGTCTTGATTTTCTACTGTTATTGGCCAGTGTATTTTTCGGTATTACTTTAAAAATGTAATGAAAAAAGAGTAGAAATTGATATGTTTTATATTTTTCAAAGATAGTTCCAATTGTTTAATTGCACCGAAATGGTTTGGCAGAATTGTTCAAAGTAAGACCATCCTCTGAAAATGTCTACTCTCATGCATCACAAAATAGACCGCTGAATAGATTGATATTTTTTTAATAGAACTAGATAGCGATATCTATTAGAAATCCTTGCTAAGTCATCAAGCTATCCTAAAGATAACTGATGTCTTTTTTTCTAAATACACTACTGTTTCTAACTGATTTGCAACCCTGAGTGAAAATCCCCAAATATGCCTGGTCTCAAATTCAGTACAAAAATTTTCAGGGCAAATGAAATTTATTCAGTATTACTCACATCCTAGCTGACCTCCTTTATTTTTCATTGAATTTAAGTCAGGGTTACTGGATTTCTGACTTAATCTGAGTCAGCTTCTAAAGCATCACATTTAAATACAAGGACTTAGATCCCCTCCCTGTCTTAGGCCAAGTTACCACTATCTCTTATCTGGCATTTCACAGTAGTTTCTGGAATTGGTTTCTTCGCTTTAACTCTGCCATCTGCAATCGAGCCTCAACGCAACAATCAAAGTGATATTTTTAAATAAATTAGATTGTGTCACGTTCCAGCTGAAATTCCTCCAAGTGCTGACCGCTGCACTCAAAATAAAATTCAGACTCCTTACCACGGCCCATGAGAACCTACATGGCCTAGCTCACCTCTTTTCTTGTCCTTCTTCCAGTCATTTCTATATTCCAATCCCACTGGCCTCTCTGTGTTGCTCGAGGACGTCTAGTGCGGCCCCTGCCCAGGTCTTTGGCACTGTACCTTCCATCAGCAACACCTGACTCTTGGTCTTCACAAATCTGATTCTTTCTTCAGGTCTCAGCCATTCGCTGCCCATCCCTGTGACTGTGGCCCACCCAGTCCCTCTCTGGAACATGATCCCAACTTATTTCCTTCATAGTACTTGCTACTAACGGTAATTATTTTATTTATAGCCGTCTCTCTGTTTTCCTTCCCTTCCCACTAGAGTTTAAGCTCAACAAGGATCTTGCCTCGTTCCCAGGCACTACTACTGAGCATCTTTCCTGGCGCAGGGTAGCTGATAATGGTTGAACGCATGAGACGTTCAACTGTTAAAACTGTACTTTAGAAGAGAAGGAGAACTTAAATATCATAAAGTATAATTTTCATGTTATAAATAAAAATTAGAGCACATTAGGGATTAAAACACATATTTGGGAAATTATAAGACTAGTACTAGAATCTAGTTCTCCTAAGTCTGATTTACACGTGGCCTCACCATTATAGCTCGTTGCCCTCAATTTTCCCCAATTCTTCAGCTAACTTGATCATATTTCTCCTCTTTCTTCCTCATGCGATTTTTTTTCTAAGCTATCGTTTGGTTCATTTGTCACTGCGAACACAATTTATAGCTGATGCTTACTAGCTTTGTTATTGACTCTATGAAGTGCTTTGTGATGCTACTTATAGAGAATATCTTAAGAAAAATAAACCATAACGTGAAAAAAGCCACAGTCTACAGCAGCACTGCACAAGGCGCCTGTAACAAAGGCTTGGTTGTGCCGTTGCGAGGAAGAGCCAATAATTAGTAACACATTTCTAAAGGTCTCTCTTGCATAATTTTTGTGTCCAGATGTCTATGACATTTGGGTTCTAAAATAGAGTTCCAAATACCACACATTCATGCACATTTTCCAAGAATAATTGGATGATTTTTGAGTCTTTCTATTAAACAAACATCAGGACGAAAGATGGACAACAGCGAGTTTCTTCATCGTAAATGCCCATTTTGATGTGGAAAGTGTCTAGAATAAACACAATTAAAGGCGTGCCAGATCGCAAGTCCTTTGAAGTCTTTGTTTATGATATGTCTCTCCCAACTGCTCGTAGTGTAAAAATGGAAAGTAATTTACATAAAATTTTTCAATTCACATGTTCTTAGAGATTAACTATTAACACGATTCCCACAGAGCCCCTTGCTGGGCCCCCATGGCTGGGAGCGTAAAGTCCAAGCGCTCTGACAAGGTATGCGCGCCCCTTCCCGCGTCCAGCCCTGCCCGCGCTGGAGCGCCAACCAAACCCTTCCAACCTCCAAGTTCAAGCTGCAGGCCCCTGAGCTGCTCGGGTTCCCGGACGCCGTGGGGCGCTTCCGGCTCAGTGTCCCTGCGCACGCTGCGCCCCTGGCCCCCACTTCTCCCACCGCGGTTCTGCGCAGCCCGCAAGATCCAGCTCCTGTAGGAACCGCCCACCAGGCCCCCCGGTTGGGTGAGGCGGTTGCTGGCGGGGAAGGGGGCAACTCCCTCACTGGACTACACTGAGCTACAACTGTTTATGCCCGTTTTCCACTGGGCCATGGACTACTAAAGGGAGCTCACCTGGTCCCCATAGCATCTAGTAGGAGTTAAATAAAGGTTAACTCAATAAATAAGGCATTTGCATAAGAAAATTAAATTAGAGAAAAGCAAAGGTTAGACTTCAGGGATCGCTTGGGGCAAGAAAACCTCAATTAATAAGAACCAGCTAACTCTGAATTTACTGGAATTTTTGAAGACAGAAGACAGTAGACTGCTTATGCTTAAAAAGAAAAATCTCAGGAAGAAAACGTTTTTACCAAGGATCTCTTAAAAATGAATGAAGGAATGAAAAGGCAGTTTCTAGAGTGTGTCACAGCACAAGCAAGATTTTAGCACGACTTCTAAGCCTTCTACATCTATTCTAGTGGCCATCTATCCTTAGAGAAGTTGGGTTTCTCGAAACTATTTAAACTGATCTTTAATCAAGTACTGTGGTCTGGATATCTACGTATGTGTAATTCAATAATTATGCTATATTAATATTTTAAAAGTATGTTGATATTTGAGATTAATAAAATATAAATCCATTTAAAGCAATACTTAACTCATAGAACCAATGTCATTATACACTTTCTCAATCCACATAGTCATACATTTACTCAACAAATATATGATATGTTCAGACACTAGTAAGTGCCAGGCCCCGCACAGACACTGGGTTCAATAGTTATTCACTATTCAGTTAGAGGTGGCTCCTACCCTCAGGTGTTTACAGTCTAGTAGGAAAGACAACAAACAAACAAATAATGACAAATTGAGTAAGCCTTAGGAAAGAAAAAAACTGGGAGCTAGGTTTGAAAACAATAGGAGAGAAGAAAACAGATATTCAAACAAAGCTTTTCCTGGAAAGTGACTTTCAGACTGAGATCTAAGGTCTAAGAAACAGCCAGCA